ACTCGAGCCAGGGTGATGTATGGTAACACAGACATAATGAATCATCTATAGAGTACAGTTACCATATAAAAATGATTGTACTCGAGCCAGGGTGATGTATGGTAACACAGACATAATGAATCATCTATAGAGTACAGTTACCATATAAAAATGATTGTACTCGAGCCAGGGTGATGTATGGTAACACAGACATAATGAATCATCTATAGAGTATTATGATTTCCAAGTTTAAAAAAAACACATTAAATATACTCTGAATTTAACTTTCCTCGACTAATGATAAGATTGATCCTATTTGGATACAGTTTAAGACCTGAATTGGTTTTAATTTTATTTCAAGTCTTAAAATATATTCAAAGAAGTCCAATCTGTTTGTTTGAGAGCAAAAGCTACATTGGGCTCTCTGCTGTGTCCACCGCGGGGTATCGAACCTGGATTTTAGCGTTATAAGTCTGTAGACGTACCGCTGTCCCATGGAGGGACAGGCTAATCTGAAAATAACTTATTTCAGAAGTAGAGATGTACATATTTTATGATATTTGATACAATTTGCTATTAATTCCAATGGCACTGCGACATCAAGCCATCGAAAAACAACAACAACAGAGAAACGTTATTGTAAATAATCACGTAAGAAGCACTTTTACTGACGCCGAATCTGTTAATTTCTGAAAATAGCTGCTTATTTTTATGACGCCTGCAGAGGCGAAAAGATTTCGAAATTGTTTTAAGATACAAATGATAACTTATATCGCCTAAAAATAGCAAAACTGGAGACAAAAACCAAGAGGTTTTCATACTACAACTTCAGTTAATTTCAAAAGTGTTATTTTACTTGTAAGCTGTTGGAGGACTGGTGAATAGGGCACTATATATATGAGTCGTAGATTCGAATCCCGCCACCAAACATACTTGCCCTTTCAGCCATGGGAGCATAATAATGTGATGGTCAATCCCACTATTCGTTGATAAAGAGCAGCCCAAGAGTTGACGGTGGGTGATGTTGACTAGTTGCCTTCATTCTATTCTATCCGTTCTAAATTAGGGACGGCTAGCAAAGATAGTCCTCGAGTAGTTGTGTTATTTGAGAAATAGTGTTAGAGGTACTATTGCTATAGCAATGTTTGACTCAAATTCTAGAGTTAACGCTAAAACCCGTGTTTTTAGTTCCCACGATGGACAGAGCGCAGATTGCGTAGCCTTACGCTTAAAAACAAGCACGCTTATAAAAAAAGCATGTGACAACAACGCTATATAATTAATTATTTTTTACGAATGATACCTGATATTCCACAAAAGCCACTGGCGCTCCTCCTTTGTTGTGCATTCGCAATCGACAAAAACCGGGAAAACTGTAAAGAAAAGAAAAAAAAACACATTAAAGAAATTACAATAGCTTAACAAGTTTAATATAGACAAATATTAATTATAGTGCTTTTACGAAAAGGAAAGGCCATCTAGTGGCAAAGTAGAGACACAATCAATCGAAGCATTAAATCGACAACTTATTTATTTGTTTCGATCAAAGAGTTAAATATATCATTGCAATTAAGTTGTAGGACTAAATATGTTTAAGCGATAATGAGACCTAAAGTTTCGTCTCTAAACTCTAGTAATTTAACGTTTTAAAGGACAGGTGCGGTTATAGAAAAAATTACCTATCATGCCCTTATTCACGTGCCGAGCTACAGTAAATATAACATATAATATTTGGTAATTTATAAATGTATAAAATACCTAGTAAAGATAAATATATTTAATTTTTATTTATTGTTGTTTTAATTATAAAATAGAGATGGCTTAATTAAAATATTTGACTTAGGCCTAAGTGATTCATCACGTTCTTTGATTTAGGCCTAAGAGATTCATCACGTTCTTTGACTTAGGCCTAAGTGATTCATCACGTTCTTTGATTTAGGCCTAAGAGATTCATCACGTTCTTTGAAGAGAGGAAGTCTTAGCTGCCAGGCGCAGTCTCAGTACTGTTGTATGTCTTAACGTAAAGAATGTGATGAATCACTTAGGCCTAAGTCAAAGAACGTGATGAATCTCTTAGGCCTAAATCAAAGAACGTGATGAATCACTTAGGCCTAAGTCATGAATGTTGTTTATTATTTAAATTTTTTATTATTTTAAATATTAGATGACGAAATTAGCTTTTACTTTATAAGAAATATTCGTAATTTCATCATTGTAAATTTAAGTAATCTGTAAACATTATCTATATATATTTTTGATTTCTATACAAACATTTTGACAATAATGTTAGTTTTAAAACTGACTTTACTCTCCATGATTTAAAAAAGAAAATATTTATTTCAGCCAACGTTTCGCCATTGCGGCTTCATCAGGCCTAGTAGTATAAGAAGTTCCAATGAAGCCGCAAAGGCGAAACATTGGCTGAAATAAAGTTTTATTTTTTATTACCATTACCTGGAGAGTAAAGTTATTTTTATTTATTTCTAACTAGTTTTTAAAATGTCCAGATCCCTCCAGTATACACTACAAACTCTGAAAAACGAATGTATATTTAAACAACAACTTTCTGCCTTCAAATGTGCTTCCATCCTACCAGCCAAACAAGTCTTTGAGTTCCTGCTCTGAAACAAATTGGCCCAGATTCGCAACAAAGAGAGTTGAACAAGGAGGTGTATTATTAGTAGAAGAGGCAGATCCTACAGGACTCGCTAACGCCGGACTCGCCACTAGGTGGGAGGGTGGTATTGTGGCGTGGATAGGTGCACTTCCTGCCAGAGCGGCGTGCGTGAGGGCAGGATGTGGTACCGCCATGTGGGGCTGTAATCAAAAGAGGTGACGAAAGAAAAGAAAATGGCTGTATTCCACTTTTTATTATTTCAAATTGTATATATTCTGAAGTAAAAGAAAATTTCTGAATTTAAACAATGATCATAAGTTACTAAGTAGAAACCAGGTTAATTTAAATAATAAAAAAATACCATAGAAATATTCTTGTAGATATAACTTATATAAACTTCCTATCAGAGCAAGCTTCCTACTTGGAAAGAAACTAAAAGTCAACCTGGTGGTGAGTGTAGCTAATTAACATACGTTCTTTCTTATCTAAAGATTGGAATGCATTGTTTCATCAGTAGGATACCCTTGCTGTTAAATGTTTAAAGTAACGTTTTTATATAGTTAAAGTTTTGTGTCAAAGCACATTTAACTCTTTATGAAAACCTTTCACATTAATGAAAGACATTACATATAATAGTTCTTACGTAGTTAATAATTACCGGAAGTTGAGCATGCAACGCCGGATGTAACAAAGCGGGGGAATGAAGAGCTGACGAAACTGGTACTTCAGCATAAGAAAGAGGATGTGGTGACCAGCCATCATGAACACCCGGAAACAGAGCGGTTCCAATTTCTTCTGAAACAAAGGATCTAAAGGTCAAGTCACAATCAACATTGTTGATCTAAAGGTCAAGTCACAATCAACATTTTGACCTTTAGTTCATCCTTCACAATCAACATGGTTGATCTAAAAGTCAAGTCACAATAAATATGGTTGATCTAAAGGTCAAGTCACAATCAATATGGATGAACTAAAGGTCAAGTCACAATCAACATGGTTGATCTAAAAGTCAAATCACAATAAATATGGTTGATCTAAAGGTCAAGTCACAATCAACATGGATAAACTAAAGGTCAAGTCACAATAAATATGGTTGATCTAAAGGTCAAGTCACAATCAACATTGTGGATCTAAGGATCAAGTCACATTGAACATAACTGATTTAAAGATAATATCACAGTGACCATAATTGATTTAAAGATAAAGTCACAGTGAACATAACTGATTTAAAGATAGAGTCACAGTGAACATAATTGATTTAAAGATAAAGTCACAGTGAACATAACTGATTTAAAGATAAAGTCACAGTTAACATAACT